TCATCATCATCATCATCATCATCATCATCATCATCATCATCATCATCATCATCATCATCATCATCATCATCATCATCATCATCATCATCATCATCATCATCATCATCATCATCATCATCATCATCATCATCATCATCATCATCATCATCATCATCATCATCATCATCATCATCATCATCATCATCATCATCATCATCATCATCATCATCATCATCATCATCATCATCATCATCATCATCATCATCATCATCATCATCATCATCATCATCATCATCATCATCATCATCATCATCATCATCATCATCATCATCATCATCATCATCATCATCATCATCATCATCATCATCATCATCATCATCATCATCATCATCATCATCATCATCATCATCATCATCATCATCATCATCATCATCATCATCATCATCATCATCATCATCATCATCATCATCATCATCATCATCATCATCATCATCATCATCATCATCATCATCATCATCATCATCATCATCATCATCATCATCATCATCATCATCATCATCATCATCATCATCATCATCATCATCATCATCATCATCATCATCATCATCATCATCATCATCATCATCATCATCATCATCATCATCATCATCATCATCATCATCATCATCATCATCATCATCATCATCATCATCATCATCATCATCATCATCATCATCATCATCATCATCATCATCATCATCATCATCATCATCATCATCATCATCATCATCATCATCATCATCATCATCATCATCATCATCATCATCATCATCATCATCATCATCATCATCATCATCATCATCATCATCATCATCATCATCATCATCATCATCATCATCATCATCATCATCATCATCATCATCATCATCATCATCATCATCATCATCATCATCATCATCATCATCATCATCATCATCATCATCATCATCATCATCATCATCATCATCATCATCATCATCATCATCATCATCATCATCATCATCATCATCATCATCATCATCATCATCATCATCATCATCATCATCATCATCATCATCATCATCATCATCATCATCATCATCATCATCATCATCATCATCATCATCATCATCATCATCATCATCATCATCATCATCATCATCATCATCATCATCATCATCATCATCATCATCATCATCATCATCATCATCATCATCATCATCATCATCATCATCATCATCATCATCATCATCATCATCATCATCATCATCATCATCATCATCATCATCATCATCATCATCATCATCATCATCATCATCATCATCATCATCATCATCATCATCATCATCATCATCATCATCATCATCATCATCATCATCATCATCATCATCATCATCATCATCATCATCATCATCATCATCATCATCATCATCATCATCATCATCATCATCATCATCATCATCATCATCATCATCATCATCATCATCATCATCATCATCATCATCATCATCATCATCATCATCATCATCATCATCATCATCATCATCATCATCATCATCATCATCATCATCATCATCATCATCATCATCATCATCATCATCATCATCATCATCATCATCATCATCATCATCATCATCATCATCATCATCATCATCATCATCATCATCATCATCATCATCATCATCATCATCATCATCATCATCATCATCATCATCATCATCATCATCATCATCATCATCATCATCATCATCATCATCATCATCATCATCATCATCATCATCATCATCATCATCATCATCATCATCATCATCATCATCATCATCATCATCATCATCATCATCATCATCATCATCATCATCATCATCATCATCATCATCATCATCATCATCATCATCATCATCATCATCATCATCATCATCATCATCATCATCATCATCATCATCATCATCATCATCATCATCATCATCATCATCATCATCATCATCATCATCATCATCATCATCATCATCATCATCATCATCATCATCATCATCATCATCATCATCATCATCATCATCATCATCATCATCATCATCATCATCATCATCATCATCATCATCATCATCATCATCATCATCATCATCATCATCATCATCATCATCATCATCATCATCATCATCATCATCATCATCATCATCATCATCATCATCATCATCATCATCATCATCATCATCATCATCATCATCATCATCATCATCATCATCATCATCATCATCATCATCATCATCATCATCATCATCATCATCATCATCATCATCATCATCATCATCATCATCATCATCATCATCATCATCATCATCATCATCATCATCATCATCATCATCATCATCATCATCATCATCATCATCATCATCATCATCATCATCATCATCATCATCATCATCATCATCATCATCATCATCATCATCATCATCATCATCATCATCATCATCATCATCATCATCATCATCATCATCATCATCATCATCATCATCATCATCATCAT